CTAGAAGAGCGAGGGCCACGACTGGAGATGAGGACGCAGGTTCACCAGGAGAGAAGGGGAAAAAGGAATGAGAACAATAGGGCCACGGCCTCCCCGCTTCACTAGAAAGTCTCAGGAGCAATATAAATAATAGGGGAAGCAAGCAGGACATAAACGGTCTAGGAGAGAAGGAGAAAGAGAAAGGGCAGTCAAAAATCCTGAAAGACTACAAACAACATGCATAAAGCAAAAACTTCAAGGAAATTCTAGATGATGTTAAAATGTATGTTTCAGGCACATTTTAGCTCTCTCATTTAATAAAACAACTAAACACATCTAAAAACAGGCAAAACTAAACAATATAGTTTAGGGATGTGTAAATGATACAACTGTGAAGAAAAGCTAGGGAAGGAATAATACAGAATTCAGGCTAGTGGAAGCCTGGCGGAGAGGTATACGACGAGGCTCTGTATTTCTCTGGAATGGGTGTTTGATTCAATACTACTCTTTAAAGTGTGTAAACATATAACATGCATATGTTTTTATATGCATGATATATTTCATAATTAAAAAAAAACTTCAGTGGAATTTTTCTTCCTCCCAATTTCCCAGTTTGTTTTCCTACTGTTTGTTTTCCAAAATAATCTAACAAACTTGCTCATATAATTATATAAAATGATTAGCGAGCGTTTCTGGCCTCAGATTTTGTAACAAGAAGCTGCACCTCAGGTCTAGTGAATCAAAATCGCTGGGGGTTGGGCCACTGAATCCTTCAAAAAAAAAGAATGAAACCAACACCCTAGATGACTCACAAGAATCTAAAGAAACTCAAGTTTGAGTCTCCCACAGGAAGAGGTCTTCTTTCTGTTACAGCCCTAAAGCTCTGGAGAATCAAATGCCATTCCTTCCCCAAGTTCTCTGGGATTTTGCTCCTGCCCTCTCTCTAGTATTTTCAAACTTTCAACCTCAAGTCTCCCCTATCCTAATACACACACACACACACCAGCCAACTTGATCCTGCAGCCAACTCTAAACTCACTCTTTCCTTCTCTTTCACACTCAAAGTTTTCTAAAATGGCCCACAGTATGGCTCTGTTTTTAACTTCCCAATATCACTCTCTCTTTTAAAACCATCATTGATTGAGCTGCAAACATGTACTTCCAATTACCTACTAGACATTTCCCCTTTGCTCACCTGGCAAATCATTATGCATTCTAATTTCAGCTCAAATATCACCTCCCAGGTAAAGCCCTGCAGCACCTCCCCCAAGCGCCCATCCACTCACCTATTAAACATTTCTGATACAGAATGCCTACCCTTACTTTTAAGACAAAGCCAAAAACTTTCCAAACAAACAAAAAAATTAAGATGCACGTAGTAAAGGTGGTCAAAAGGTACAAACTTCTAGGTATAAGATAAACAACGCCTGTGGATGTAATGTATGGCATGATGAGCATAGTTAACAACAGTGTATTGAAGAACTGAAAGTTAAGAGAGTATATCTTAAAGGTCTCATCAGAAGAAAAAAAACCTTTCAAACTATGTGTGGTGACGGATGTTAACTAAACTTATTGTGGTAATCATTTCACAATACATACGTTTATCAAATCATTAGGCTGTGTTCCTGAAACTAATACAATGCTATACGTCAATTATATCTCAAATTAGAAAATGCATTCAGATGATATGATAATGTGTGACCAGGCTGGTCTTGTTTATTTACTTATATAGCACTTGTCCCTGAAAGAGTTTAAGCAAAAACAAAAACAAGCCAACCAAACCAAACGGTGGAGGTGGGCAGAGAAGGAGGAAGAGTGGAGGTGACCGGCACCAGGCGACAGGGATGGGTGGGGTTTGTTATCATCTTAAAAGAATGAACGAATAGGAGTTGCTCAGGTGAAAAAGTTCTGATCTAACCTGTCTTTTCACTTTGGCTGGGAGTGGGGCTTTGGGGAGTGGAGCACAGTAAGAAAGGGTATTTCAGACAGAACACAACCAGGTTTGTGCTTTTCTGTGCCTAGCTGAAAGGCAGGAAAGGGGAGGGAGGGTTAGTGATGAGATTAAAATGGAAGGCAGACGCCAGAATTTTAGAAGCAACAATTACAGGTTTACTACAATTTTTCTCTCCCTCTATACTTTATAATTATCTGCTTATAATATTAGTCCAGGCTTGTTAAAAGCTAATTTCCACTTTATATCTAGGTTTAAATGACACATTTTCCTAAACAATTTTTCAGGAACAAGACATTACCAATGAAAAATTGTAAAGCTATATTTTAACTACATTTGGCCATGCAGTAAGAAAACGAACATTTCAACAGTATCATGATCATGTAAAACATTTTAAAAGTCTCTTCTGTGAAAGAGGGAACTCTGGAAAGGAAAATGTGTGCGGTACTTCCACATTTGTCCTCATTTTAGCTCTCTACTGAGAGAAGGGAAGGCTAATAATGATTGCTTCACAGGCTAGGGAAAGGGAGAATCAGGAAAAACAGTGATTTCCTTCTTTCTAAAATGCATATTTTTCACACTATGACTTTTTTAAAAATCAGGATGGATTTCCCACTACTGATTACTGATCATTTTTTTGTGTGTGGGGAGGGCCACATTAAGTGGACCTTACAACTACGGGTATACTTTGAATTAAGAAAACATAGTAAAGGATTTTGGCCAAAGTTAATGATAGTAGTAAGAAAGTGGCAGAATTGGACTAAAAAATTCTTCTGTCAAGTTATTAATGTATATTAGTAGGAACATTATGGCCTGTTTGGCTGTTCTTTCATCAATTTAATTAAATGTATGGAGCCTACCGTCCATCTTCTACAGGCTCTTCCTGGAATACAAAACCATACAAAACACCTTTTCTGCCCTCAAGAGGTATATAAGCAATTATAGATGTCTACACAAGTGTCTACAGAACAGTCAGGAATTAATATCAGAAGAACAATACAAAGTGGGATACATCCAGGTAAGGAGTGGTGGTCACTTCCAGCCAGGATACCAGGAAGGCCTGACACATCAAAATAACTTAATAAACATTGACTCTGAAAGATTACAAAAGACTCAAGTGAGACTTTGAGGAATGAAAGAATTTCGACAGAGAGGCACTCCAAGCAGAGAGGGTAGCAGAGACCAGGAAAAAGCACAGGGCCTCACTGGCAGGAGGAAAGTGGAGACTCGCGAATACTGGGAACGAAGGCTAGAGAAGTTAAACACGGGCTAAAATATGGAGTTCCCTGAAGGTCAAACTAAAGAACGTGAACAGAGGAACAGCCTCCGAACAGCTGTGTTTGGGGAAGGTTAGTCTGACAGTCAACTATACCACCTGAGCTGGAGTGGGGTGAAAGCAAATGCTGTGGACAGTCCAGGGTCAACTGCTCAGTGCCGGAACTAGGTGGTAACGGTAGCAATGGCAAGAAAGAATGTCGTCCCTTTGAACCGCCAGGGGACTGCTTTTGCATGAGGGCAAATTCCAAAAGAAGGGAGCACCGCCTTGTGAATATTTGTAGCCCCACTACTCCCAGTACAATACTTTACCCACAGCAGATGCTTGGTAAGTAAGCTGAACGAAGGCAACCTGTAAAGGCTAATCTGAAGCGTCACTACTGCTTCACGTCCATAATCACTCTTCTCTCTACTTCTCAAACCCACTCATATAGCTGTTAACGTGAACTCCCTCTTCCAATCTCAGTGTTACAGCCTCAATCAAAATTTGCCAGTAGGCTTTAGAACCCCACTTCCTTCAAGTATGCCACAGCATTTAAAAAAGCATATAGACACACTATGAACATGTGCAAAACACTGCTTTATCCAGGATTTTACGCAGAAAACTATCCCGTTTCCACATGCACACCAAAAAGCCTTGCTGAAAGACTGTTTACAGCAGAACGTTTTTCTTTTAGGCAGCAATCAACATGCTTCTTGTGCTACTTATTCAATCTGCCATATCACTAGTGCAACCACAAGCTGCTGCTTACATTTCCAAAGTTGTGCAAAGGGTCCAAAGTTGTGCAAGAGTCATCACTGCAACCAGACTCCGGTATATTAATAGTTATAACACCTGAACAAGTCTTAGTTTTATTATCAGATTCAAAGTAATGCCAAGAAATCGCAGATATTAAAAATATTTTCAACGAGTTTGACTACTTTATCTGCGAAATACAATGGAATGTTATCTTCAGTGCAAATAACTGTATTTCTTTCTGCTTCGAATGGACATCAGGTCACCTGATAACTGGCAGTTGTGAGCCTGGATTTGATGTATCGAAAAAACCAAAGTGTCCCCAACACACACACACACACACACACACACACGCGCGCGCGCCAGCGCACACCAAGAGCGCTGAACGCCTTGCACTACTATCAAAGAACCTCAAGTTTACACGTGGCAGAAGTCGACAGAACTCTTTCATGCTTTAATGACCTCGAAAGGGCCCAGGCGTCAAGTAACGGGATGTGACTTACTCTGACTTGGAAGTTGAGTGATAAAACTACATACCTATGTTACTACTATTATTATTTTTTAGAGGTTTCTGTCTGTCCTCAGCTGGCTATCCCACGCCAGCAAGCGCTCTGCCCGGGCCTCGGCAGGTGCGTGTGGGTCAGGAAGCCCAAGGTCCTCCTCCCATCACCGTCTGCTCTCCTCGGCCCCGCTTTCCTCTCTCGGGGTCGGCGAAGAGGCCCAAGGCGAGGGGCCCGGGGCAGGGCGTGCGATCCTCAGAGCCAGGCTCTGACGGCCCCGGGCTGGGCCGGCCCTCCTCTCATACACTCCCCAGATCGCGCGTCGAAACGGCGGCCGCGGCCCCCAGCTGCAGGGCCGGGGCCGGGGCGGCGGGCCGGGCCGGCCAGGCCAGGCCGCGGCCTCTCGCAGTGCCCACGTCACCAGCTCCAGCACTGCGGAAATGGAGCGGCGCGGCCGGGGGGGAGGCGCCCGGCGGCGGCAGCTCCCGCGCCGCGGCCAGACGCCGTGTGCCCCCCAGCCCCGGCCCGGAGGCCGCCGACCCCCGCCCGCCGCGCTCACCTGTGTCGCCGATGATAATGTACTTGAAAAGATAGGCGTACGCCATGGCCGCGGCCGCTCGGTGCCAGGGCACGCGGCTCCTCCTCCTGCTTCTGCTCCTCCTCCTCCGCGCCCCTCACCCCGGCGCCGCTCGGCCTCGAAACGCCAGGCCCCGCCCGCCGCAGCCGCCGCCGTCGTCGTCAGCCTCCGGGAGTGAGGGGCCGAGAGGAAGCGGGACAAATTGACACCCTCTGAGCCAAGGGAGACAGCGCCCAGCGGAGCCCAGCTGAACAATAACAGCCGCCGCGGCGCCTCCGCCCCGCCTCCGCGCCGACCCGGAAGTGCTGCGGCCGCCGGCGCCGCCGCCGCGGGAAAGGGGAGGAGCCCCGCACGCCGGCAGCGCCACGCCGGCTGGAGCCCCGCCCAGCCAGAGCCCCGCCCCGCCTCGCCTCGCCGGAGACCTCCCCGGTGCAGCGTCGGCCGCTGCCGTCGGCCCCGTCGGCCCAGAGCCAGGCGGGGCCGGGCGCTGGTCTTGCCGGCACCTTTGAGCGGCGGGCGCCGGCGGCCGGGAGACGCTGGGGCAGGGGAGGGGCCTTGCGGCTCCGTCGCCGCGACGCGAGCGGAGCCGCGTCCTTCCGCCCTGCGGTGGGGACGCGGGACACGTGGTGGGAAGGCGGAGGTCGCGTTCGGCGCAGGGCCTGCCCTGGGCTCGTGACAAGGTGTTCGAAAATGATGGAGCCTCTCGGGGCGGGGTTGGAGGGCGAGGCTGTATCTGTGGTGCGGGACGGGGCTTTGACAGGGAAAATGGAAGTGTTTGTAAATTCGAAACCCTAAGTTAGGGAATATGCGGTAAACCATGATATGCACCTGCGGTGGAATACTATGCGGTCTTAAAAAAAAAAGCCTGACTTAACGTTACGCAAAAACAAGGCACAGGACTCAGTGTATAAATATACATTTATGTTATATATATTATTTATATATACAACTATCTTATATATAGTAAGTGATACATAAATTACATTTGTATATTTATAAGCTATATTTTATTGTTATATAAATAACTTTTTATTTTACCATTGTGTAGAAAAATGACAGGAATATACTTAAAGACCCATACATAGTACGTAGTCAATCTGAAAGGACACACCTGGGACCAGGGGAAGGAAGGGATGGGATTGGAGGGAATATCTACTTTTCACTGAATTTTTCAAGGGCAGTTTGAAATTTTGCAGTGTTCATGAATAACCTATTGAAAAATGCACTTAAAGGAAAAAAAAGTAACTTTTTTGTTTATTCAACTAACACTTTAAGTACATACTATATTTCATGCACTGCTAGGCCCTGGAACTAAAGGCAGACACTGTTCTAAAGGAGCACACAGATTTTGGAAGAGGAGATGCAAGACAGAGTTAAAAGTGTCAGGATAGGTTATCTAGAGAAGTTGATGTCTGACCCAGAAATATGAAGGAAGAGTTTGTCAAGAGGACAGAAGGTGGGGGAAGGGAACTGAAGTTTAGGCGCAAGAAACAATGTGCAAAGGTCCTGGATCTGTTCAGGGAATATGAAGTTGCATAAGGAAGCTTATTTGCTAACCCATAGCCTCTAATGTTGGCAGTGGAAGGAGAGCCATTGCTAGGGCAGAAGTGACTGGGGTTTAGTGGCTCTGGTTCCTGTTGCCTAATATTTTCCTCTCCCTTTTAGGATCTGTCATTCTACCGAAACCTTCATGCTGGGCTGGCAGTACTTCGTTGCTACATGGTTTGAATGGCCTTTCCAAATGTCAACTCACAGGTTTGTGTTCGTTTGTTTGTTTTTACTGTTTGGAGGGGATTTTCAGAGACAGCACACAAAAATTTGATGTGAAAAATTATCAGGAATTGCATAATCTAGTTCACCCATCTTTAGTTTGGGGGTGGAGAAGTCCCTTCTTAGGCCTGCCATGTTCCAAAGGCCGTTTTGTCCCTCCCGTCTGAGTGCCTTCACTCAAGTCTTTCCTGGTGATAGACATGTAGAAAGTTCCCTCCTTCCAGGAGAAACTCAATTTCTTACTACTCTCAGCAGTATGCCCTTTACACATAGCCTGAACAGGACAACTCTGTGGGGATGTTCCACGAAAGCCTAGCATCCTTACGATCAGAAGCATTCCCATACTGTTAGAGGAGAACTGTGGGAGAAGTCACTGGTGCCAGGTCATGCACGGGCTTGTTGCCATGTCAGGATGCATGCGGCACTTTACCCAGTGGACACGGAAACTGAGAAGAGAAAGGTCAGAACTGAATGTAAAAAATTATAGAAAAGGATACGTATAGAGCTTTAGAGGCAATGCAGTGTAAAGAGAACTTAGGAAACCTGCTTTTGATCTTGGTCTTACCACAAACTGGTTGGATGATGGTTGCAAATCTTTTGGCCTCCTAGAGCTTTGACACACTCATTGATAAAGCAACGGAGTTAAGTGTTACCTGAAAGGTCTATTCCAAGTCTGAAGTCCTTTAATTTTATGTCTATCCACCTCCAGATCTAAAGCACCTGTAAAGTAGGTGGTAATCTTTCTCTCATGAAAATGTCAGGGCCACAGGAGTCAAGTGTATATGGTTCTTGCACAGAACTGAGAGGTGTTAGTTATTGGTGTGCAGGAATTATAACAATCAGTGGCTTTGAAAAGAGCAAAGACTAGCTTTTCAAGTCCCTCGCTAAGCCTCGGTTTCCTGGTCTGGAAAATGTAGAGAATAACTGCCTCTCAAAGTCAATTTAGGATCAAATGATACAATATATGTGAAGATATTTTGTAAATTATGAAAAACATATACTTAATGTGTGAAACCCTTAGTGCTGCATAATTTCTAAAAATTACCTCGAAGGAGTTAAGGCCTAATCACTATACAAATTCCTGTTTTAAAGTCAGCTCCTTTTCTGTCTCTATTTTATGTCTCGACGTTTATTTTTTTCTATGTGTAATTCATAATATTTTGTTACATTTTCTCTAAGCCTATATGCTGTCTTAAATTCTCTTTGAAACAAGGTGTAGATAAAACCCACACAAACTTCATTTTAAACACTTTACGTAGCCCCCAAAATCCAAAGACATTTTTTCAAGAAAAACTCCTTGGCAAAAATGACAGAAATAAAACTCTCTTCCCTTAAATTATAGGATACTTCGTGGGATTTTCCACTCTGTTCGATTTTCAGCTATTTCATTCCCTTGGGGACGAATTCTGATAACCTCATCTCTCAGTCTTACATCATATGTGGTCTGAAGGTCATAACTGTGAAATTTAAGGATTGTTTAAGGCTACATTCTCCAAGGTCTCCTCATTCAAGTTTTCCATGACATTTTAAAGTAGAGTATTATATTAGACTTTTGAATTTGCTCTTCCCAACCAAACTTTTCATGTGTTTAAATTTTCTCTGGTTTTGATCACTCTCAGACTGTGGGAAGAGAGGTAGTGGGGGAATGGGATGGGAGAAGAGTGGCTTGGAATACTGTAATGCATAGGTTCTTACTTTGGTTCCCATGGTTTCCTTAGCCAGCTCTCGAATGCACTCTGGGAGCCCTGTGATCCTCCAGAAATGATATGCACAATGTTGTATGGATTTGCATATATGTAATTTTATGGGAGAGATCCTCGCACGAGTCCATGACCCAGAAATAATTAAGAACCACTGTGAAATGCTTGCTTTAAGCCATTTCTAAACACCATGACAGAATTAATTTTCCTGCATATACTCATAAGCTCAGTACCAGTTCTGGAGGAAGAAAGAACTCCGTTCAACTCCTGAATTTACCCCCTGTCAGATGAGTGATCTTGGATAAATTACTAAACTCTCTAAGCCTTAGATTCCTCATGAGATGACACAAGTGTCTAGCAAAGTGTCAAGCTCTCAGGAGACACTAAGTAAACACTGAAGTCATTTCCCCCTTTCCTTCACCCTCTCCCTGTGTTCCACCTCCAACCTGTCACTAAGAACTGTAGGAGTTAAATGAACCCAACAAAGACGCTCCCTTAAAGGAGATTAGAGTCTCTCTCATGTTAAGTCATGGGTAGTCATTGTAATACATGATGAAATAATTATACAACTCACCATAATGCAGAATCAGTGGGAGCCCTGAGCTGCTTTTCCTGCAACTAGATGGTCCCATCTGGGGTGATGGGAGACAGTGACACCCGAAGTGTGTTGCTTGTGTCCACTCTACTCTGTAACAATCAGCTTACTTGTCACTTGCCACTCACTGATAGGGTTTTGATATATCTGCAAGCAACTGATTTACTATGGTCTCTGTGCAGTCAAACCTCTCTGCTAATGATAACCTGTATATGTAGCTGCTCCCCAGCAGAAGCGGAAGGAGAGCCATCTAAGCTGAGCCTTAAAGGGCCTTATCTTTCATAGTTATTGCTTTACTAGTCATTCCAGATGTTTCAGCAGCCCTCTCCACTATACTTTGTTCACCTTATCCACCTCATCTGCCATTTATGTTCTTGTTGGGTAACACACTTAGTATTCCCTCTCTTACTTTTCTACTCATGACTGATTTCTGACCACTTGTCAAAGCCAGAAATGACTGGTTTCTCTCTTCCATTGCATTCTTTTTTCTTTTTTTAAACATCTTTATTGGAGTATAATTGCTTTATACTTCCATTCCATTCTGCTCATCCTTCAGAAGTTTACCTGAAGGGTCAAAATGGAATGATTGCAAATTCACATCCTGAGTCAATGTGTGTGTAGGTGAGTGAAGAAACTTTCTTTTGTATGTAGGTTAGTTTTGTTATCAATGGACTTACTATTCATAACAGAAGGGGCCTACATAAGTGCACAAATGAGAGAAACAGTGAATATTGGAATAATAATAAGCTCATTTTATAAAATCGTGGATTAAAAAATATAACTACATAATGATTAATAACAAATTTAAAAGTGAGTTAAAAACCAAAATAGTGTTCTTAAACTACCTACTTTTCTCAGTCCTTAACAGTTGCCTAGTGCTTTCCACAGAGAGAGTGGTCTGGGGAATGGCCCAATATTGGATTCCAGGAGGCCTGAATTACAGTCTTTCTTGCCACCAACAAGCTGACCTTGAGAATTTTTGTCATATACTCAATAGAGATGATAATTCCAGTTGCTAATAGAATCACTAGGAGGTAGGTATGAGAGCACTCTGAAAAGTACATTATTACTAGGAGAGAATGTATATACCAAATTGCAGGTGAATGATTTTCTTGAATGTATCTAGGTATATTAGAAGACTGACCCCTATAGAACTGTATAACATCAGTAATATTTTACTGTCTGCATTGTTGGGTTTTTGTCAGCAAAGACTGGACCATGCAATTACTTCAAACCCTCTGGTTTGAACACATATTCATCCATTTATCCTGAACGTGTTCTGTGTCTCGTGTTCATTGGTAGGTGTCCTTATTTTGGAAAAGTCAGGATCAGAATGAGAATGAGGATACCTGAGGAGTATACCTTATATTTTGCTGAAAAGAAACCATTTACTACTCCCATGAGTGTTTCAATTTATTTTAATCTTTACCCGTACAGGGCTTTAAATTTTGATAAAGGGAAATCCATTTTCTCTCCAATTGTGAGGACATGATAAGCTAGCTCTGTCCCAGTGGGAGGTGCGGACACTGAAAACCTTCTGTCACTGATGTCTTTTGTGTGAGATGGGTGCCAGGAATTACGAGATCACATTTCAACCTTCTTCCAGCTCCTCTCCCTCCTATATAATCTTTATCTCTGCTTCTAACAGTCTCATTATCAGAATTTTAAACATATGGAGTGAGAGAGAAGAAAATGACTATCAAAGAATCACATTTTCACTTCTAATATGGAGAAAATAGGAGTCTATTTTTCCAAACTTTTTTATTTTAAAGAAGTTAGTAAAATAAAATAAATCTGTCTGTTCTTCAGACATTGAGGTTACATACATTTAAAAATCTGCAAGGCTAATTTAAATTTGTCCAAGAATCATTGCTGTACTTCTACTGCTCTTTTTTTTTTTTTTTTTTAATTTTTTTTTTTTTGATGATGAGAAACAATGTCGTATTTTATTTATTTATTTATTTTTTTGCGGTGCGGGCCTCTCACTGTTGTGGCCTCTCCCGTTGTGGAGCACAGGCTCCGGACACGCAGGCTCAGCGGCCATGGCTCACGGGCCTAGCTGCTCCGTGGCATGTGGGATCCTCCCGGACCGGGGCACGAACCTATGTCCCCTGCCTCGGCAGGCGGACTCTCAACCACTGCGCCACCAGGGAAGCCCCTACCGCTCTTTTAAATTTCTCAATGTAAGTAATCTGGGGATCAATTCCCAGCAATTCCTTCAAATGAAACAGATTGCGAAAAAGTACAGTATAACCTTACAACAGCAGTAAACATTTATTCTCACACAATTTTTATGCATCAGAAATCTAGGAGCAGCTTAGCTGGGTGGCTCTGGCTTGGAGGTCTCTTCATGGGGTTGCAGTTAATCTTTCAGCCAGGGCTGCAGTCTGCAGTCATCTGAAGGCTAGATTGGGGCTGGATGATTTATTCCCAAGGTGGCTTATGGCTGAGGCCTTAGTTCTTTACCACATGGACCTCCCAGAGGACTGCTTAGTATCTTCATGACATGGAAGCTGGTTTCTCCCAGTATGAGAGATACGAGAGAGTGAGCATAAGGCCAAAACCTCAGTGTCTTTTGTGACCTAACCTTGCAAGTCACATCCCGCCACTCCTGCTGTATCCTTCTGGTCCCATGGACCCACTGTGATAAAACATAGGAAGGGACTACACAAGGACATTAATAACCAGAG